TAAAAGGCAATTTTGTTGCCTTCCCTCCTGAGACTCCATCTATGTTCCAGATGGTGAAGCAGCTAGACAACCAACCTACAGATAAGCAAGGTCTACAATTCATCACGCACCAATAATGCTGACACATAGCAGTTTCCAACTCTTAACAAGCTACAGAAATGAAAAATGAAAACTCTGAGTTACAGAAATGAAAAATGCACTCGATATAATAGTCAACTGCTCTCCAGACTTTCCCACTAAACAGACTTTCATTTCCAAACTTTCCCAACAGCTATGCTAGAGACATTATCGGAAATACTAGTTACTGCACGCATAACCACCAGCTGCTGTAGCCGCAGAAGCTTTAATTGCAATTGGTTACATCCTGGTTATTTTCCTGACATTTTGGTTAAATGATTATTGGAACTGTGTTAAGTAAGTCACAGCATAGCTCTCGAGAACTGGAGGAAAACCAGGAGAACTGGAGATAGTCATTATTCCTTTCTAGAGAGCTGACCCTCATGACGCTGCCAAGGGCCACTTCTGGGGCCATTAGATTTTCTATCACCATCCAACTTGCATCCAACTTCTGATGAAGTGAACCCAAACTGACCTCTCTGTAAGTGACTCACCTGCACAGGAATTCCCTCGAGATCTCTATGTGAAGGACATTGATACAGTTTTGGTTAGAAGTAAACTCTACTGGGAGAAAACCCAAAACCAGTGATAAATTTTTAATACAATAAATTGGAAGACTACTAACAGATCTTCTGGGCTAATTAGGTCATGGAGTTATCCACCAGCTGAACAGTAAAGAGTTGAAGAGAGACATAATATGAGTTTTTTCCCCTCACTTTTCTTTTGCAGAGTTGGATCTCTTTTAGGAGACACATAAAAATCTTTTTATTGCTATAGATTCAGAGATTGTTATTGATAAATTTACAGGTTTTTCTATTTGATTAAAATAAACATGTAACTAGAACTACTAGAGACCTGGAAAAATATTTAGTATTTAATACTTAAAAATGGAACAATAAGCAGGAATTACATACACATTCTTCAGGTTTAATTCTTCAGTAATCCACCCTCGTCTTTAGTGAAGTATTCTCTCTGTATATCCCTTAATCATAAATCACAGCAGTAGTCACCCACCCCTGGAAAGTGATACAGCCCAATGTACCATAAAGAAAAACCACAGATTCACACATATACATGTAACTGTAATTTATCTAGTAATACAAACTATTTTATTGCTTTAATAATTTTTAGTGAAAGTGTATAAACTGTATAAATCAAGATAGAACTTAAAATCAAAGATGGAACTATACTACACAGTGGAAATTGTAAACAATGAGATAGCAGAAAGCATCTAAAATTGTTGAGATGTTCCACTATTAAGTTTTGTGGTGTTTTACTACACAGAAATTTAATAGATATCAAAGCATGACACATTTCAATTTTCAAAAACTGACTTCCTACAGCACTGAGTACTATGATAACGGATGTGTTGTATATCTACACTGTGCAAGGTGGTAGCTGCTATGGGTTGTGTCTCCCAAAAGATCCCCAAAGTCCTAACCCCAGATGCTTGTGCATGTGAGCTGATTTGGAATTAGCATTTTTGCAAATGTGCTAAGGTGAGGTGAGCCCATATGGGGGGTGTGGGCTCAAATCCAGTGTGACCAGCATCCTTACGGGAAGGTGGTTCAGACACAGGGAGCTGGAAAGTGGCAGAGCATGTGGAGGCAGAAATGACAGTGCCACTTCAAGCACTCAGCCCCCAACACAGTGCTCAGCAGCCCACAGCAGTTGCATATGGATGCAGAACACTTGAAAGCTGGTTGGTGAGGCTGTGGAACAAAACCTTAAATGGCACATGTGGCTGATGGCTACCTTCGGGACCAGGGCAGCACCTATCATTCTGTGTGACTTCTATTGTAGACTAATAAAGTGAAATCCTTTATCAGGCTAGTTCTTCAAGCCAAAATTGAGAATAAATCATAGTTTTATTGACTTCCAAGTATACACTTTCACTGTATACATGTGAGTATGTATTATTTGACTTATAAATTAATAGCTCTCATCAGCAATTTCCAAATTACAGTCTGGCCATCTTTCAATATTTTAAAATGTGCTGGACAAACACATAAGCCTACATATAACTGAGCTAAAAGCCTTAAGCTCTGAATTGACAAACCTAAATGTTGTTTTTCTTGTTTCATGATCAAAAAGTTCCATTAGTTGAGAGATGCTATTCAGACTCACTGAATACTGAATTAACAAAGTGTGATGAATCAGACTTCATGAAGTATTCATGAGCTCTCATTTAACGCTAATTAAATTTTTTTAAAAGGCCTATACTAAATGATTTTAAGACCCTGGCTCAGACTGACAAGCATGAAAAATTAAAATTCAGAAACAAATTCAATCCCAAATCACATATTTGAATTACACAAGTTACAAGTACATTTAGGAGTCTTTTTAAAAAACTATAATGAATTATTGTAGCCTGTTACATTACAACAGATTTTTAAAATCACTTTTCTTATACCCTTTGATCATTAAAACAAAATTGTACGAGGCATAACTGTCTGCTTTATAAACGGCAGAAAGACGATGGATGTCACTGCCTCGAAGGCAGCTAGACCACTTACTTCCGTCATCCCAAACTCTATACAACAACATTTGCTACCCTGTGTCTTTAAATAGCACTTTTACTTGAAATTGCAGATGAAAAAACGTGTTGAGGAAACCAAGCTATATGTGTAAGCTATTTTGAAGGTCTTAAAACTACGAATTATGGAAATAATGTATTTAGAAACTTTACTTCTTGGTAAAATTGAAATAGTTGAGACATTTTCTTAGAAGACAACCCTGACAAGAAACTGAATATAAAGTGGTACAAATTTAGATTAAATCTCAAAATAACAGGCCATATATTTTGTTGTTGCAGTTGCTGTTATTTTTGGAGACAAGTCTCACCACGTGGTTTGGGCTGGCCTACAACTTGCAGAGATCCTTTGGTCTCAGACTCCCAGGTGCTGAGATTACAGGCATGCACCACCATGCCCAGTAACAGTCAATTATTTTAAAAGTAAAAATTCTTAGTAGCAGTAAACTCAATTCAAGATCCATTTTCTAAAGAACCAGCCATTGAACCTTAATTTTTGTAACAGTAAGCTTTTATTAATTTGTTTTGTTGTTTTGAGACAGGGTCTCACTATGCAGTTCAGGTTGGACTTGAGCTCACTATGTAGCCCAGGTTGGTCTCAAATTTGCAACGATCCTCCGGAGTGCTGGGATTACAGGTATGCGCCACCATACCCGGCAACAATAAGCTTTTAAATAAGACATTTTGTTGAAAATTTTAAGTGTGTAAAATTTGAATACCACCCCTCCATCCAGCCCTCAAGTACTAAAAGCTGTAAGTAGGTAAATTCTTCACATCCAGTGAAAAGAGAAGGGAACTAGAAATAGTTAAGAATCATCAGTGTCTTCTTTTGTTCAGGCTGCTGGAACAGAACAGATTGGTGAGTTAAAGACAATAGAAATCAACATCAAGGGGCTAGCTGATTTGGTATCTGGGGAAGGTTCAGTTTGTTTCCTACATGACGGCTTGCTGTGTCCTCACACGATAGAAGGGGCAAGAGAACGTGCCAAGGCCTCTTCTGTAAAGAAACCAATTTCTTCCAGAAGGGCTCTGCCTCTATATCTTAGTATTCCCTTACTCCCACCTTCTAACACCATCGCAATGAATATTTCCATACTGTACAGAAATTCTAGAGGAACACATTCAGTCTGCTGCAAGACTAAGGGTGCATTTTCTTTCACCCTTTTACAAAACACCTGCTAATGCTGGTAAACTGTAATTCCCACTGCCCACAGAGAGGTCAAAGTATTAACCCTCTTTCCCAAAACATACACTGAAGTATTATGAAAGCATTAGAATGATTATATTCTGATTTACTTTCATGTTCACAATGTAGGTACATGTTTATATTAGATGAAAATATGAAATACATTTTATGACCTCATTTCTTTAAAAAAATCAAGGAAGACATATACATATAATTAGGTAGAAAAGTTTGAAAGGATATACACTGAATGGTAGTCAGCAGTTGTTAATGATGAGATTTTTTATTTTCCTTAGTATTTTTCCTATACTGCCTAATTGTTTTCTAATGAACATTGTTATTTTTTCTTGTTTCTGTTTGAGACAGAATCTTGATACACAGATCAGGCTAGCTTTTAACCATGTAGCCCAGGCTGATCTTGAACTTTCCAAACTTTTTATGATCCTCCTGCCTCAGTCTCCCAGGGTGCTGGGAACTTATGGGCCACCATGTCTGGCATATCCATTTCAAATCACGAACAACAAAGATATTTCCTTTCTGGAAAAAATGTCACTGGGAACTAAAACTAGTATTTCAATAGCTTAGAAATATGATTTACTTTGTCACCAATCTCCTGGAGTCCTTTTTATGATTAAAAAAGACAAAATGCCAGTAAATATATAACTACACTGTGGAGTACTGAGAACAATTTAAGCATCCTTTTCTGTAATTCTGAAAGTTTTTCTGTAAATTAAGCTTCAGAAAATAGTATAGGGAAATCTCTCTTATTAAAGAAAAAAATCTATTCCCTAATTGTAAAAATTCAGACAATTTGCTTAAAGTGAGATGTACTTTATTCTGTGAAGGTTGATCACCGAACTTTGACTTTGGAATCCAAATGGTCAAGAACTGCAATTATTGAAAATCATGATTCATACAGTCAATTATTTACCTGTTTGTTGGTCACTGCAGGTGAAATATATGTAAGAATTTAAAAGATGAAAACATGTTTTTAGCGTAATGACCAGTAAGAGTAACTGCAGACAGAAACTGCTTTATTTTTTCCATTCAAACTTTATCGAATGGATGGTTCAAAAACCATACACAATAGCAAAAAAATAGCACATGCAAACCTGTTTTGTCTTAGTCACTGGTTTTCTTTAGAAAATGAATACACATTTGAATAACTTATAATTCAAACATTTCCAAACTGTTTCAACTTTATTTAAGTTAGCAATAACAGATACATTTAAGAGCAATAAAAGATACATTTAACAACAGTAGATGCATTTGTTCTCTTACCTTTATTCACACTGAAATAACATAAGGTATACAAAAATCAAACCATTTACTGCTCAAAAATCTGGAAAGTTTCTTTTACATAATAAGATTCTGGTATGTGAAGAGATCACACAAACTGCTATTTGTAAATTAGATGAAAAATAGGATATGTTGTTTGAAAGAAAACAGTAATAACTTATCTAAATAATTTCAATCAAATGAATAATATATTCATCTAATAATAGTCTCTCTTATAGAATACAAAAAGTGCTCATATTACATTTAACAAAAATAAGATAACTAAGACCTCACAGACCTGAAATAATTTAAGATGATAACCTGGGGAATCAAGATTACATCTTTGCTCCCAAGGCATGGAGGCAGGCTTGAATTTATTTAAATCAGAAAGAAAAAAATAAAACCCGAAGTTTGCAAATGCAACGCTTCCTGCCTTGAAAAGATATAAAGTGTCCTTGTAAAGTTTGCATGTGTTTCCCTTTAGATGAAAGCCATTACTATGAAATAATGTACACACACACACACACACACACACATACACACACACACACAGAAAAAAAGTCTGGGTGTGGTGGCCCACACCTGTAATCCCAGCACTGAAGGCAAGAGGATGACCATGAGTTTGAGACCAGTCTGGGCCACGTAGGCAAGTCCAAAGTCAGCCTGCACTACTGAGAGAGATCCAAAAAAGGGAGACTGCTCATCAACTGACAAAGCTGGGCCACTTCTGGTGATTGTCCTTCTCTAACCACTCTCAGCATGCACTCAGCGAGGGCTTGAAGGAACAAGTGTTCTTGAAGACACCTGCACTACTAGGATCAATACAACTATTCTCCAAAAAACTTTCACATGAACACAGCCACTGAGCGGTAGAATCTTCATGCCCGAGTCACTGTGCAGCTTCTCTGGAACCAACCTGGAAAGCCACCCCAGGGACGGCCCCTCAGTGCACTGCCAAGGGGATCATTTTCCTCTGATGGAATCCAAAACTGAGTTCTGTACTTTGAGTTGTGTTAAGATGCTGGATTCTGGTTTTCTCTCCATCCTTAGGAATACTCCTCTACATGTTAATTACAAAGATGAAAGCCAGACAAAATGTAGTTGACATTACTCTAAACATCCAATGTCAAAGGTGCTAAGTACAGACCCCCATCCTAGTATTACTTCAATAATATTGAGCATTTACCATTCTCTGCAATCTTACTTTGAGATTTCTGTCAAATTTCAGATATATCCATAACACTGTTGAGAAAACAAAATAGAATGTATAGCATAATTTTACTTATATTAGAATTCTGAGAGGTGTCATTAATAGCTCTCTTTTTATTCCTCTGAGATGGTGTGACTCCAAATTACTTTCTTAATGTTTTAATTGCTTATAGTGAGTATTACTTTTATGCACAAAAATCATAAAGTAAAATCATGTTCAACTTCAGGGGAAAAGGAAAAAGAAACTTCTACAGATTCTGGAGATAGTTCTAAGTTAATCTCTAAATATTCTTGAGATACTATGTATTGGTCAAAACTCTGGGAAATACACAATCATTGCAATAAGAGAAATATTATTCTTCAGTCTTATATCCTTAGTCACCCAAGTTTTTGGCACATGGCAGGTATGTCTTTCTCTCATGGAATGCAGTTTACAGTGATGTTCAATTTACAGACACTTCATTTTTTAGATCTTTGTCATATGATCTTTCCATGTCTTCTAACAAAGAGAAAGTTACTGTTTTAATGTTTTAATAAAGTTCAGTGACTTTTGGAAAAAAGCTTAAAATCAGTAGTGGGATTCAAATCACTAAGTTTTATAATATGGTCTTTAAAAAGATTAATCAACAGAAAACAAGAATGGGTGAAATGTGGACTCTGATGACACAAGTGGCCAAGCAAGTGGCAGCAGAAGGGACCAGCTGAGAAAGAACACAAGAGCGCAGCCTTCTCCTCTGCTCTTCATCCTGCTTCCCGCAGGGTTGGACTGAGCCAAGCACTGGGATGCCTGGCTTACTCTGACGCCTGGCCTGGGGCCTGCAGGTCTGGGAGCAGGAATCTGCTGAACAAGCAAAGGCTCCACCGAGACAGAGGCAAACAGGGGCTTGGTGGCTCCATGTTACGGAGGGCAGCACCTATTCTCTGCCTCTCCATCAAAGGAGCAGGGAAGCACTGTCCCAGCTCGTGCCCAGGTCAGAGCGACTCCTACTGACTTAAATGCAATTTGTGCCATAGCTACAGAAGCTGTCAGATATTAATTTGTTTTTACAAGGAATGAAAAATTAGTGCCAATTTCTTTTGGATGTGGCTTAGCTCAAGATAGTACTTAATATTTTTCTTTAAAATACTTTGTTTCTTAGATTTTTAGAAGTAGAGCAAATAATATATAACTGGAGTAATTACATATTTTTTTGTCCAAACTGAGATATTTTCTAAAGTAAAAGGCAGCACTGTAGCAATTATTCCAGGGAAAAAATGATGCCAAGAAGACAGGCGGGAATGGGACCTCCTGGACAAACGGAACCCACTACAAACACAAGGCATCTCTGTTATGTCTGTACTTTGCTTTTCAAGTTCTCTATTAAACAATACAACGTGACATCTGGCAGAGGTTTAATAGTGACCGCTGAGTGACAGCACAGGTTGCCCCCAGGGAAGACGTTTTCTAGGCAATGAAACACTTCCCACCTCCATCTTCCTTGTCCTTAAAGCCTCTCAGGATAAACCAGTCTTAATCGATCTGAGGAAAGTCTGCTTGAATGTCTCTAGTAGAACAAAACTTGCCCGATGGTGATTAAATTACTTAATCACATCTTAATTTTACTTCCCAAAATGTTAACTAGAGAAGCTTAGCATGTTTTGCTCTACACACAAACTTCCAAAAAGACAAAGCCCAATTATAGACCTAGGTCATAACATATTTTAAAAATCTTTGTATTAACCACGTGAGTCTCACAAATACATTGCCACAAATTATTTTAGAAAAGCTGTACGACAGTGAAATGTAGAGTCTGCTCCGCGGGCAGCTGCAGCTCTGCCGGCAGTGGCTTAGCTCCTGAACAGCAGCATCCGCTCGGAGCATGCCTGCCCCACCAGGCTCGCGTACTGCAGCACAGCGGCCTCCTCGCTGGGGTCTTTTTGGTACTTCTTATAAACACCGTAAGGCATGATGGCTTTCTTGTAAAACACCCGCACTCGGTCAGGTTCCTTACTGCGACCTTGATCCACTGCAATGAGAAAACAAGTTCATCAAAAATAGTTTTGTAGCAAACTACTTTGTATTTCCTAATTTAAAAATATTCAGTTTGAGACCTATTACCCATCAACTGACTCTCACTAGACAGTGTGTTCAAGTGAAGGTATGCAGCACCAACATCCAGACTAACAGATGTTTAATAAAAACAACAAATGCTCCTCTGAGCAGTAACAGCTCTCCTTTAGCACGACAGCTGAACTTCGAGACAAAGCACTACATGCAACTGAAAAGCTGGCCTTGTATGCCTTTATGGTTTTCTGAGGCACTATAAAATTTCAGCTCTGCAGCACCTTTCTAGGGTCCAATTTAAATCTACCTTGCCCCTACCTTTACCAGCATACTGTCAAAAGTTTATCTCTCTGAGGAAGCTTTCCAGTGACTCAGTAGTTATGATTTCTTGGCTAGGCAATGGGTACTTAAGTTCTCATGGGAGGGCAGCTTCTCACAGCATCCTTAAACACTAGACGCTAGGCTGGCTGGTATTATTGGTTTTCCTCTTCCATATAAACAAGCCTCTGGTTTGCATGAGAGCACATGGTTTCTCAGAAAGCCTGTTCCCTAGCCATCCTTCAGGTAGTTGTGGCCTCCTATCAAATTATGGCCAATGGGATACAAATGGAAGCGTTTTTTGAGTTTCTAGCAGTCTTTCAAAAGGAACGGCTGATCTATGCCTTTTGAGTTTCATTTTTTCAAGCTTTCTGCAGCCTACAGCCTGGAACATGGATGTGATGGCAGGAGCATTTCCTTTATCTTGGAGCTGGCAGGTAAGAACATACCTTTGGTTCAGCAAACATAAAAGATTAGATAGAACCGAGAGTCTCTGTGACTGAAACCTGGTGGCTTAATAAGAAGACAGATACCAGAGTACACACATGCCTACTCCATATCTCTTGCAATATGATGCTTTGTGCCACCTCAGGCACAGAACCTCAGGGATCTACCAGCAGAAAGGCTGTCATGAGATGTGGTCTGTCCACTGACTTTAGACTCCCAGAATTGTGAGCCAAAATAAACCTCTTTTCTTTTTATCTAGTCTGTGATATTTTATGCTAGTAACACAAAACAATTCAACACCAGGTTACGTGCCAAAGTGCAAGGCAGCATGCTGGTTGCCACCATGGATTTCAGACATGTTAATGCATACACAGTGCCACCTGTCACCTGGCTGTTTGCATGAAAAAGGCAAATTTGAACATATTTAGAGTCCAATCCAAATAGAAAAGTAGCTGGGTGTGGTGGTGCACACCTGTAATCCAGCACTCAGGAGGCTGAGACAAGAGGACTGCTGTAAGTTGAGAGCCTGCCTGGACTACCTGGCTACTCCCTGTGTCAAAACAACAAGTTTAAAAAAAACTCCCACAAATGAATAGAAAAGTAAAGATCATTGTTAACAATAAGGGAAAGAAGTAAAACGTTGGTAAATGATCCCAAAATTATTCTAAGTCTTCTAAATGTAAAACTACACTTTTAAAAATGCCTGTATTGAAATTAGTAGATTGATTTTAACAGTTTAAGCCTTTATCCTAAAGTGTTTTAGAACATAGGGCCAGGGATGTATTTAGTGGCACACGTGCCTGTCTGGCCAGTACAAGGTCCTGAGCTTGATTCCCAGTACCACAAAGTAAAATAAATACAAAGTATTTTATAACACAGATATACTTTAATATTCCAAAAATGGAACTTAGCCAAAGAAAGGTGAGATCTGATGTCATCACATTTTACCTAGAATGAAACGCTTTCTTCTAATTTTTATAAATACAAAGATAGGACCAGGGAAAAATACATTTATAATTTTATTAACTTTCAAAAACTGTGCTCCTTGTAGGAAGTAGGAATTTTGTTGTTTCATTTGTTAAAATGTATTATTACAATTGTATTTATTGAGACCACCTGAAAAGCTCAACAATTTCACACATATAACCGCTCACTTCTGGGAAGTGATAACATCTATGTTTCAACCTCAGAATTCCAAATTTATTCTCTCTCTCTCTCTCTCTCTCTCTCTCTCATAATCTCACTCCTGACATATATATCTAATTCAGTCTCCCAGATTTCTAAATTAATTTACATTATTTTTAGAGAGTCTAATGACACAGAAATTAATAAGGTTTAATAGTTTTTTACTCCAAATACTTTTGAAGCCTAGAATAATTCAGGAACAAATGCGTAGTACAGTTATAAAATAGATACCAACAAGCTATTCACTTTTCAGCAATAAACCTAAATCACAAAAAAATAGTACTGAGGCCAGGGATATGGCTCAATGGCACAGAGCCTGCCTGGCAAGCACAGGGTCATGATTTCAATTCCCGGTACCAAAAATAAAATAAAATGTATTAATTTTAAATCTCTCCTCATTCGTTTCAATGTGAGTGTATTCAAGTCACTTGGAAACAGATATGTTTATCTTTAGTGTTCAAATATTTCAGAAATTTGTGGATTTATTTTTTTAAATTTTAAAGAAAGACTAAACAAAACAGAAAATGGGTAAAAATAATACATACGTTCAAAGAAAAAATAAACAGTAAGAAATCACTAGTTGATGTTTACATATTATCCTCTTACAAACAGTTGTTCAAGATACAAAAGTGGGTCATATAAAGTGGGAATTCAAACAGCAAGACTGCAAACAGTTCTGTTCAACTATCCAACAAAAACTTAGTAATATCAATCCTATGCACTTAAACATACATGCAGTTATCCATATCTTCAATTATGTTGAGACTGAACAAACCCAAGCAGGCTAATATCACTCTGAACAAAGAATAACACTATTGTTAGTCACATTATGTGTCCATTATGACACTCCAGGATCAGCACTGGGTACTTTAGTGTCTCTTTTTCTTCAAAGTATCTGTTCATTTCATCATGTTCATAAATCAGTTCTCATAAACTGTTTATAGGTTCTACACATGCATGAGTCTTAACATGTATTTCTATCCTTTCTCTATTAGAGGGAGAAACAAAACAAAGCAAGACAAAACAAAACATATTCCTATAAACACAGGAAATGAAAAAGACATGTAAGACCATTGTACAAGGAGTTCTATCATGGTTCCTGTGTTGCCTCATTATCTTCAATAGAATTGGCTATATCATCAAATATAGTATAATTGAATATACCAGTACATAACAGTATTAATAAAAACACAACTTTGTATATAGTATAAAACTTCAAAAACAGGCAGTAATCAAACCAGAACGTGTATCGTAGTGAGTCCTGTCATCTTCAGAGTAGTTGCCTATACTCTCAGACTTGATTATCAATCGTATCAGTTTTGAATAAAATCTGTCGATACCAAACAGCAATAAAAAAAACCAGATTTCACTAAGATCAGTCATGATAAAACAGTGTAAGTGATACAGGGCTCCAGATTAAGTTAATAGGAAATTAAAGATGATTACTGTGCTATATGCTGATGTTTTTGGGATAGCTGTCTGTGCCCTCAAATCTAACGCAAGTAGACAAACTGGGACAGAATAAAATCTATCTAAGCAGACTGGTACAAGTAATGTGGGTTTTAAATCCTGATACACTATCAACAATATCTTCTGCCATCTTTTTTTAAGACTCTCTTTCCCCTTTCACCTTCCTCAGGGTACACTGCGCATTTTTGGATCTCACCAAGACCCTTGATTTTAAATGGGGAGGGGGGACCTGCTATTTACATAAGTGGTTCCGAACCTTCTCTCTCCTGGACTTGATCTCTAATTGTATTTCTTTACCTATTAAAGCCTGTCTTTCCAACCTATTCACAAATACTAGTCTAGTTGCCCCTATTACTCTCTGGTTCTCTGTCACATACAGCATTGTTTTCTCATATTTGATTTTCAGTCCATGTACTCTTTTTCATGTTAATTATATTTCCTAAAAATAGCATCTCAGTGGACCCTACCTCCTGATCTACTCCACATGTGGTTCTTCTTTTTAAATTTAGTGTATTAAGGCCATCTATATTAGAGATTATAACCAACCTTCTCTGCCTCAATTCTGTTATGTTTTTTTTTTTTTTTTTTTTTTTTGCCATCAGTTGTCCGCTTGTCTTCTTCATTCTATTTCCTGCTCCATTCATTGAGGCCTCTCTGCCACTGTTACTGGAATCCTAGTACTTTGCTCTCTCTCTAGAATACCCTGCAGTATTCTCTGTAGAGTTGGACTGGTGGGCGCGAATTTCCCAAATTCTTTTTTGTCTTGGAAGCATCTTATTTCTTCATTAATTTCTACAGAGAGATTTTCAGGGTATATCAATCTGGGCTGGAGGTTATTTTCCTTCAGGGCTTGGAATACTTTGCTCCAGGCTCTTCTTGACTTGATGGTTTGGGTCCAGAAGTCTGCCGTGATTCTGATAGGCCTTCCTTTATAGGTGATCTGTTTCTTGTCTCTAACAGCTTTTAATATTCTGTTGTTATATTGAATTTCTGGGATCTTGACTATTATATGCCTGGGTGTGGCTCTGATTTGGTTATAGGTGGCTTGGAGTTCTGTATGCCTCATACATCTGCGTATCATTTTCTTTTCCTATAATTGGGAAGTTTTCCTTAATTATTTCTGTGAATAGCGTTTGGAGTTCCTTTGTTTGTACCCCTGCTTTTCATTTACATTCTTTATTCTCAAGTTATAGATCCTCTTGTCACCTTCTAGCCTTTGTATTGTTACTGCTTCTTTCCTTATTTTTTTTTTCCTATCCACAGCACCAAAGACATAGAATATTTAATCAAGGACCTAAATCCCCACAGCAGTGTCCCACATGAGTCCAGATAAAAACCTACAGCTCATGACAATGCCTCCTTTGAGTCCAACTGGAGGTCCAGAGCACCCAAGAAGGACTCATGCCAGTCCCTTTTACAGATGCATGCCAGGAAGGCCCAAAGGTCAGTGGTGGAAGCCAGAAAGTCCATGCCAGCATAGTGAAAGAGCTGTGCTGGTGAGATGAGGGTTCTACACTAGAGCCAAGAAGTCACACTCACAAC